GTTGCCCCTGCGGTGGGGCTCCCCCTGCAGCTTCTTTCCGCACCTCGTTTCCTATCCCCTGGCTCTGCCGCACTGCTCCCCACCTCCCCTCCCAGGTAGGTACCAGGTTCCCGCTGCCGAATAACCACGACCCATTAATGACCATGGTAGCGGATATCTCGCATTTACCATGTCCCGAGCACTGTTAGTTGTCTAGAGAACATGGGCTTCAGAGAGACTGCTGGCCAAAGGCTCTGATATCAGAAAGAGGTAGATTAAATCTCACACATACGTCTTTGAAAAGCAGTTCCCTCTTTAGACAGACTAACTGGCTAAGAAATCATGACACCAGACGTTTCTAGGCTTCATCCCAAATGAGACTGGTTAGGCCCCCGGGTTCCGCCTGGCTCTGTGTCCTGAAGACCAGCAGACCCCGAGACTTCTGAGTGTGCCCCCCTCCACAAAGGGGCACCGTGCAGGGTTGGGGAGGGGGATACAAGGGGTCGGGTCGGCACTCGAGGCATAAGCAAAAGGCCTGGTTTGTGGACAGGGGCCCACTGTCGTTCCCAGTGTTCCCAGACTTTCCTCCAGGGTCCGGCTCCTGCAGGGCAGATGCACTGGGGATGTCACCTGGGGAGCGCGGGCCCTGGAACCTGAGGTTCTGAAGCAGAGACCTGGTCCACCGCCTGTCTCCCTCAGCCCCTCTGCACCTGTAACTGTCTGTCTCTGGGTGCCCTGTTCGATGACATGCCCTCCTGCACTTCACCTGCCGCCCCCACACGCCCAGGCGGCTCTTCTCCTACGTCCCAGACTCCTCGCTCCAGACGACGATGGCCCAGGAGGCTCCTCCACCCAGTCCGAGTCCAGCTCCCATCCCTCAGCCTGCACGCAAACTAGCAAGGGCAACAGTCAGCCAGCTGGCTGCCCCTTCTCCTCCAGACCGGGAGGGAAGAGGCTCCCCCATCTCCCCGGGCAACCCCAGATTTCCAACAGCAAGTTCTTTCCCTTTCCAGCTTGGTCTCAGGTGATGACACGCCCTGGGCCACAGCTGTGACTCACCCTTCGTGTGAGACCTGCCTTGGGCCTTGCTGGTGCCCATGGTGCAAAGCTGCCCACACGAAAGGCATCCTGGGAGGGTGCGGGGAGGTTCCAGCTGCCAGGTCTCCCTGGGCGGCGAGGGAGGCGTCCTGGGAGGGGAGAGGCAGGTGGAGCTGCCGTGGTCCCAGAGGAGGTGTCCCCAGAGGCTGGGACCCACCCAGTTGTCTTAGAGCTTTAGGGCAGGTCTCACAGCTGGGTGGGTGAGCTGTAGCCTGGTATGGTCGAAGGCATACCGCAGAACCAGAGAGACCTGGTTCGAATCCCTGCCCAACTACTTAGCAGCTGGACGCCCCGCCTGTGCCCTCATTTGTAACACAGAGGCGATGCCGGCACCTGCCTCGCTGGTTTGTTATGGGGCACAGAAGAGACAGAAGCAGGCGGAAATGCCCTTTACATCTGCTCTCACTTTGTCTTCCCCGACGAGATCGCTTAGGCCCATTTTGCAGGCGAGGCGTCTGGGGCATGGAGGGGCCCCTGCTGCGAGGCCTGTGTTCCTTCCCCTGGTGCCTCCTGGCTCACAGCAGTGCAGATGGAAGTATGTCACGGAGCCTTCGTGTCCTGGCAAAGCTGCCCACTCTCACCCTGAGCTCCCCGTTTCTACAACTCCCTCCACCCACCTTCTCCCCTCCTGGACCAGAGCCCTTGAGGAGGGAGAGACTGAGACCGAACAGCGTAGGGCCGCTCGTGGCTCAGCAGGACATCTCGATGAGCTTTACACAGGAGGGATGAACACGTCCCTCCCACCAGCAGCTCAGATGTGGCCACGCAGCCCCTGACTGGAAGGAAGAAGGGTCGTTCCTTCAAAGCAGAAATCTATGAGCACAGACTTGAGTGGCCCGTGAATGGTGCCGTGTGGCCAAACCCACGCCATCAAACAGCTCCTCGGCCCACATGTACAAGGCCGTGGAAGAGTCACTCATTCCCAGCAGACCCAGAAATCCCCACACCCTCAAATCCCCAAACAGAGGACCCCAGGGCTACACACCCAAAATCAGACACTGAGCAGTTCTGGCCGGGGACCTGGCAGCCACGCTCCTGACATGGGACAGAGAGAGGAAGCGAAGGGAGGGGGAGAGACAGACAGACACACACCCCAGCCTCACAAAGGCGGTGCTCCATCGGCCTGCAGCTCCAGCAAACTCTAGCTACTGTGTACAAGAGGGTTTCCCAGATGTGTCAGAAGGTACTAGACTGAACGGGTGATCACTTCGTAAGGTATACAAATGTTTAATCACTATGTTGTATACCTGAGCTAATATGTCCACTGTAACTGAAAAAAGAAAAAGAGAGTATCAGAGAGGTGGGGCCTTGAGGGTATCACAGCCCAGCCTGCGGCCACAGGTGAGCTCTTGGCCCAGGAAGGCCGCCGGGCTCTGCGGGCCCCGCCCTGTCAGCGTGAGCCCGTGCACGGCCGGAACCAGGCCGCCGAGAGCGGTCGGGCTGTCTGCAGGCCTGGGTGTCCTTAGGATGTCCTCCTGCTAGTGCCCAAATCTGGAATTTCGGGGTTCTTTTTTTCTAACAGTGGTTCCGGTTTACCATGCATCTGATACTCATTGGAAATGACTCATGGGAAGAGGCCTTTGCTACCCATTTCTCTATGCCACCGACGGTGTGGTTTTAGATAATGAGACTTCGAAACACACACACATATGTACATTACCATTCAAGCTTAGCTATTTACAGACAAGCAACTCAGCTCCTACAGAAACTTTGAGGTGATGTTCTAGAGTGTCAGGGACTGGGAACCCTCCCAGAAGGCAAGCCAGAGGGCAGCCACAAAGACATCGGGGAATCTGGGCACAGCACTGCAGAGGAGCACCCCCTGGCTGGCCCCACGGCCCACGGCACGGTCCCAGCCGGCGGCCAAGCAGCCAGCCCAGGGCAGCAGATCCGAGGAGGGCTCCTTGTCCTCCTCTCCCGGCCGCTTTGCTGGGTGACCAGGCTCAGTCTAGAACCCTCGGGACCTTACCGAAAATAAGCCAGCCACCTCCTCTTCCCTTACCCAAATGTTGTCCTTGCCCTTTTCCCTTCCCAGCAACTGCAGCAACCACAACAATTTCTTCACAAAGTAGAAACAGCTGGGCTTAGAGCCCCACTCTGGCTTCACCTCCCTGCTAGACGCTTCCTTCAGAAAACCCGGGGCCTCCACCCGATGCCTTCGTGCCCTGTGTCAGAGCCAGAGTGACTGCCCCAGCCCTGTCAATATGGTCCATCTCCCAGAGAAGTAAGACAATGATGATCTAATAGTGATATCACTAATAACAGTGGTGGCAGCATTTACTGGGAATCTACATTGTGCCCTGGGCTGCTGATGCTTTACTCCTCTCGTAATGACAGACAGTGCACGCAGTGGTTATGAGCAGGGCCTATGCAGCCCTGGCACATGACCCTCTGCCTCCACTTCCTCATCTGTAAAATGGGACTGTGGAGAGCACCCGTTTCCCGGAAGTGTGGGCATTAGATGCATTAACACGTGTCAGGTGCTCAGCACAGCGCCCGGCACACAGCGAATGCTCAGCAAATGCCGACCACCGCCAATAATTCTTACAGCTGCTGCGCTACCACCCTCACGCTTACAGCCAGGGGACGGAGGCCTAGGAGGCTAGGACTTTGTACAAAGGTGTCAAGGGCCATACATGCCGGAGTTGCTGTTTGTGTCCAGGCCCCCGACCCTTCATCTCCAGCTCCCAGTCTGACATATGTCTGCAGGACAGCCAGTGTGCTCCTGATGGCTGTTTTTTTGAACTGGGAGCAGGAATCTAGTTTTGCACTTTTGTGTTCTGTGACCATGCAGACACTAGAGAAGTGGGCCTGGCTGTGGCGTAGGAGTAAGGACCACAAAGTTGCTGAGACTCAATGCCACCCAGAGACATTGGGCAGCTGGGGCAGGGGGCGGGAAGGTGCTGGCTCTTTCTGTATCCGGCCCCAGACACCTGCTTCCTTGATGGGCGGGAGACCTGCCCTCCCCCCCCCCCAGCCCTGCTGGGTGGTGGCATGCAGACAGGGCCTCCCAAACCAAAGGTGAGTCTCTCCTGCTTTCTGGACCTTCAAGCACACGACTCTCGAGCCCATGGACAGACCCTGCCTTGGGTGGCCATGTGGTGGTTTCCAGGTGACATTCATACCAGCATATATGGTGTTTTAGAAAAATGATAAAAAAAAAAAAAAAAAAAAACTCCCACAAACTCTTTCTCTCTAGGCAGAAACATTTAAAAAGTGGTTCTCTGAGTGAGATTAGAAAAGGCACCCTGTCCTGAGGCTCCCAGGACCCCATGTGCGTCCTTCACTCGGCCCCGCTCGGCCCTGGTGCGGTGCCACCTGGCCACCTGCACCGAGCGGCCCTGCCGGGGCGGGAAGGGCTGGGAGCCAGCAGGCCTGGACCCTGGGGCTGTTCACCCACTAGAGATCGAAGAGCCTGCCAGAACCATGATGTCTCATCTGTAAAATGAGTGGATGGGACAAAAACGTGCCTCAGATCCCTAAAAGTGACATCACTGTCATCAAAAGAGGTGACAGCTACCCCGGAGGAAAGGCCAGTGACCACTCAGACACTGTCCTTGGTGCTGTTTCTCAGAGCATCAGTTCACCTGATTCTCACCCCCACCTTTCCAGGTAGGTGTGGAAACCTCATTTTGGAAAAGAGGCACCTGAACTTCTCGGGAGCCCAGGAAGTGAGCACCGGGGCAGGCAAAGCCCACACAGAGGCCAAAGCCCACACTCCAAGCCTCACTGACCTCTTGCTGCTACGTCAGCCCAGGGAAAACCACCCCACTGCCTCCCTGGGTCAGGCCTCCCATCTGCATTCCCAGCCCACCCCATGACAGCCACCTCCTGCCCACCGATCAGTCGGTCGGTCAGTCAGTCAGTCCACACACGCAGGGTGGCCTGTCCCGCCATGTGTGCAGCCCCAGGAAGACTCCTACCGCTCGTTGTTCAGGGCCATTCTCGGGGGGTCCAGGTTGGGGTTCTCCATGGACTCCATCTGTGGACACCGCAGGAAGTAGTAGAGCGTGTGGAGGGCATCGGGGGACCAGGTGATGGGCTGTGGCGGCTGGCGGGCCTGGCGGGCGGGGCTGGAGCCGGGACACAGGGGGCGGCGACCCTGCATGTGGTGCATGGCTCGGGAAACCAGGTCGCCTGGGGGGAGAGCAGAGGGAGAGAGAAACAGAAAACAAAGTCTGAGTCCACAGCCCAGATTCTTCCAAGGAAACTGTAGCGAAAGTCCCGTAATTACTGTTTACCCCGGAGCCAATAGGCGGAGGTGGAAACTGTCACCCAGACACACAACAGCAATTTAGTTCCCTTTCACTTCCAGTCTTGCTTTAGCAGCTGAATGAAACACTTGGCAAGTGCCTCCTCCAGAACTTAGGCTAATGTAGTTTCTTTTTCAACATCCCCTCTCTCTCCACCACCCCACGGGCCTCTCCCGGTTCTCCGACCAAGGGAGCCTCTCTGGGCACTTCCCCCAGCCTAGTGTGACATGCCCTGTGCTGTCTTGTGCAAAGGCCCAGGTACTTCAGTAAAGGAACCGCCTCAATCCCCAAGCACGTCGAGCAAAACGACCACCACCACTGGGCACTCACTATGTGCTAAGTGTTCACTTCCCTAGAAATAGGATTTGAGTCTATCCTTAAAATGCTGGGGCCTAAGTATTTTACAGATGAAGAAACTGAGGTCTATCCAGGGAACGAATACTCACAGACCCCACACATTTCCCTGGTCACAGGGAGGCCGTGGCACACACAGGCCGTTAACTAGCCAAGGTCAGGTGACTAGTAAATGACATTTGAACCCAGGCCTGTGTGACTCCCAAGTCTATGAGCTGAGCTGTGACCTGGGCTCTGGCCTACCCTACTTGTGGGGTCCTCAGGGCCCCATATCCTGTGTTTTTCTGCCCAAGTCTTTTCAATATGCCACCGGCCTGGGCAGGAAACATCCCCTCATTGTGTGAGGCCACAATGCTGAGAAAGGATGAGCGAACCAGCCCCAGGCACCTGCAGGCCCCTCTGTTCTGGGCCAAGTGGCGCCTTCCCATTCTCCTCAGGCCTGGGAACTCCGGGGGCCTCCCCTGTGGGTCAGCTTCCCCCATCTGGACATGGTTGACCCCAAGTGGAGAGAAATATGCAGGCTTTAATTTGGCAAGTGAAGTGTCATTCAATGTATGGTAGCACCAGTCCATTCATTTATTCAATGCACCTGCTCTCTACAGCTTCTGTGGGTCGAGTACTCCAGTCCCCGGTGTCCCCAGCACCCTGCACGGGACCTACTGCATAACGGGTGTGCAGCAAACATTTAGAGAATGAAGAAATAGCCCTTACCTTTGTGACATTTTAAAATACGTCTGGGGAGCTTGATCTGAGCTCATTAGCTGCCCAGTTCCTCTGTGACAGCACAGTGACGGTGTGCTTCCGAGCAGGGACGATGACACCCTGAACTGGAGCTCTCCACTGGGAAAGAGCCCTCGGTTCCCTGGCCCAGGCCCTCACTCCGCTCTGCACACCTGACTGCTCACTCCCTGAAGCTGTGGCTCCGCTGCCGGGTGCCTCCTGGCAAACCCCAGGTCCAAGAGCGTTGAGGGCGGCGAGTTACTGACAACTGGCTCCCATCCCCAAGACTCTGATTTAACTGGTCTGGGGCAGGACCCGGGCATCAGTACTTTGTACAAATCCCCTGGTGAAGCTACTGTCCAGCCAGGCTGGAGAATCACCAGTAAGTGGACACAAACCTAGATCCCAGACTCAGACTAGCCTGGCTTCAAATCAGGGCTCTGCTACTTCCAGCCACGAGCCTTACATCCGTTACTGATCAGAGCCTTGGTTTCCTCATCCGTAAAACAGAAACAATCACATCTAACCTACAAATCGTGAGGATCCAATGAACTCATCACAGAGGAAGTACCTGGTACGGGTTAAATACAGCACCAGCAGATCACGTCCTGTTTGATGCCTCTGGCCTCGGGCTGCCCCCGTGGTGCTCGCCCTCTGCAGGCCGCTGTGTGCAGGCCAGCCCTGCCCCACGTGTCCCAGGACAGGAGTCCAGGTCCTGAAGTGCCAGCTCCTAGCCCTGCCCCCAGGTCTTGGGTGGGAGAAACCGGCACCGACACCCCTCGCCCGCTGCCCCAGCCCAGCTGGTTGTTCGGCTGAAACCTGGCTCCCGCTTCTCCAGGTCACGCCATCGCTCCTGGCAGGACCACAGGACCACGAGGAGGAGAAGTCAAAGAGCCTGCGACAGCATCCGAGAGAAATCTGGTGGAAGTACCACTGACAGACAAGGTAGAGGTCATCACCACGAATCACGTGTGTGACGGTTTTCCTGGTATTGGTGTAGAACCCTTCGGCAGCACACTTCCAGCCAGAACGCAGGCAAAAAGAAAAAAAGAAAAAAAATCCAGAAAGAAACGGGAGCAAAGGGATAGAAAGGCGTCTGGAAGGTTCGGGAGAACCGTGGAGGCGGCAGAACGGCAGCTGGAGGTGGGGTCCCTGGACCTCTGGGCTCCAAGCCCATTTGCGAGCCGTCAGTCTCACAAAGACCAATGGGACAGATGCCTGCAGACAACCTCATCAGGCCTCTGACGACTTACATGTTCTGTATCTCTTGTTTATGGCCAAAGAGAGCCGCTCGCTTTGGCAAGCCTCCCAGAGCTCTTCCTCCCAGCCACCTTAGGTTTTCCAGGCTTGGTGATAGACACGAAAAGACAGACACAATCTCATTCGGTCTTTACGACCACCCCGTAAGGGAGGTATTTTCTTTTTATAGGCGAGGAAACAGGCTCACAGAAGTTAAATGATAGGTCCCAGTTGCACAACTAGTAAGTGAACCGGCCGGGACGTGAACCGGGGGCCCTGTGTCCCGGCCGCGTGCTCTCAGCTGTTGCGCCGTTGAGCTTCAAGTGTGGCCTGCAGACGGGGACAGGTGTGCCAACTGTTCGTTACTGGGTCACAAGTTAATTTTAGAAATTTCAGAAATTAAAAAACTCCCATAGTAATGCCTATCCGATGTAATAATGAAAAAAACTGGTCACATGCCTTTTACGACTTCTATTTCACTTTTCCAGACATTTATGTTCATTGTGTTTCATTCACGTTTCGGTCTGCAACAGAGTGTGGGGACAGGGCGGAGAAACCCCCGGCTGGGGCGAGAAGCCGGAGCCCAGACTGGGCTGTGCTCCTGCTCGAGCACAGGTGGGCACAGTCAGCACTGCTTCTGGAAAATTCCTGCACTCGAGAATCACTTGATCCTACGTGCGATGAAACCTCAGTCTGAAACACCCACCAGGCATGAAAAACAAGCCCTTGCTGCTTGTTAATCACGAGAGCCTTGATCAGAGGTGCTACAGGTTTCACTCTGGTCTGCACAACCCTCATTATGTGCCAAATAAAACTAGCAGAGAGCCTGAAATTGAGCACTGTCTTCAAAACCAGGCTCGTTCCATCTGGTTGCTTTTAAAGAGAAGGGTTCTGTTTTGTTTATTTCTTATTGCCTCTTATTTACATTTTCATGGGTAGAGAGGGACAGAGAAACACACCAGTGCCCAAACTCCCTGTGCAGCTAGACCTGATGCAAGAAAAAAACTTCTTGACCTACCTGGCAGGCTGGTCTTGGCAAGGTGCAGGGAGTTTATGCCTGTTAAACCTGGGGTAAGGTTTTAGGTACAAGGTGCTCAGTGCCAAGTATCGCTAACCTCATTAAGTTCTTTAGTCTCGGGGAGAAAAATTGCACTGTCTGCCTCCACCTTGTCTCCTCCCTCCCTCACAGTGGGTGAGCAAAAACCCTGGTTTCAGAGCACGGGCGCTCAGGCAGCTAGGTGCAAGACAGACTGCTCCGTTGTCAGTGAAAAGATGCTACAGGACTGCTTCTTCCCTTTGCCCCGAGGAGTGGCTGGACCAGGATGTGCACTGATCCGATGAGGGTTTTAGGAGGTGCACACTGGACGATGGAGAACTCATTCCTTAATAACTAACACACACACACACACACACGCACACACGCGCGTGGCATCTGGTACTCTTCTAATCACTAGGGATACAGGACATCAGGGGACAAAACAGAGAGGTCTCTATTCTCATGAAGCTGACATTCTAGTCGGATGAGCGATGACAAACTATTTACATAGGAATAGATGACAAATGTCAAGTGGCCATCAGTGCTTTGCAAAAACCCAAAGCCATAAGAGAAGACACAGAAAAGCGAGAGTGGGGTGCTCCTCTATGCAGGGTGCTCAGGGATGTCTAACAAGATGTCATTTGGGCAGGGACTTGAAGAAAGTACAAGCCCAACATACTTGAGTATTTGGGGGGAAAGGCCCTGGGCTGGGAGGTCCTTGGCCAGGGGCTGAGATGGCTGGAGCACAGTCACCAGGGAAGAGTAGTAGGCAATGCAGCCAGATCGAACATTCGATCTTGGGCTGTGGTGAGCATACTGGATTTGACAGAGTGAGCTAGGAAGCCATGGCAGGCATGAGTGGGTACTGAGCAGACACGTGACAGAATCCAATTTGTGTTTCCAATGGGCCTGGTTTGGGCTGAGTTGGTAGCAGTGGAGGTGGTGAAAGGGGCAAAGTAAAACTAGAGATAGTTTTAGAAGGTAGGACCAGAAGGACTTGCCTCTGGGCTGCACGGGAAGGACACGCCTTTTCCTGAGGGAAGTTTCTGAGACCCCGTGGCCGGGCTGCGGGCGGCAATGCTGAGGCCGCGTGGGGAAGACAGAGGAGCAGAGCCTGCCTGGATGTCTGCCGCCCCGAATGCTGGTGGCAGGGCTGCCAGCCAACGGCCCCGTGTGACGGCAGGACATCGGAGTCAGGCCCGCGGCCTGACGCTTTCTGCTGCCTGACTCGGAGAAAATCACTCTTCTCCTCTGAGCCTCGGTGTCCTCACCAGGACACCCCGCTGAGCTGTTCCGAGGAGAAGATGAAATCCGTGTGAGGACGGAGCGCCATGCACTGCCTTGCACACAGTAGGTACTCAGTGCTCAAAATGCAAAGTACAACCAAGACGCTCTCCAGTGGTCCGAGGGCTGAGTGCACCCCTCACTGTTCGCGGGGCAGGAGAGTTTACTAAACACAGGCTGTGCCGGGCCCGAAACACACCCACTGTCCAGGAGACATTCGTCTCCTGAACACACCGAGCCCCCTTCCTGCATGTCCCTCAAGGGGCAGGGGACCCAGGTGGCCATTCTGTAATCCCCCAGGAGACAGAGCGCCGGAAGTCCGACTTTCTCTCCGCCCTCATACTGATCTGCTCTGTGACCTTGAACCAGGCGCCTTTGTTTTTTATCCTGGGAAGGGGAGGAAGACTGAAGGGAGGAAGCTGCGTCCTCAAGAACCAGAAAGGCCTGTCATTCACTGTTCAGGGTCAGAAAACGCAGAGAGATTAGGAACAGAAGAGGCTGGAGCAGCCAGGCGCGGCCCCATCTGTTCCCGTCCTGCGCGCTCCCACCCTGGCGGGGTGGCTGCCCTCCGCTGGGTGGTCTCGGGACACAGGAGGGACAGCCGAGCAGCAAGAATGTGCAGTTTGATTTCTTAAATAACGGGGGTGACGAGAGGGAGAGATCAGGAGATGCATGGGATCTCTTGCCTCCTGACAGACTCTTTTGAAGCCGCTGTCCAGTGGTAATGACCCAGGCCAAGGGGGTTCCGGCTGTGCTGCACAGAGCCCCGGGGTCCTGGGGAATCTCAGGGCCACTGCGGCTGAGGCCCCCTCCACGCCCTCCTGCAGCCAGAGGAGCTCTGTTCTTCTTCTTTTTCTATGTTGAGGCTTCGGGGATGCTTTCTTTTAAGAAAGAATACTGGCTGCAAATTCACAACTTTTTGGGCCAGGCAGGTAAAATAAATGAGGGGAACAGGCCAGCTAACAGATAACGAGGTATGGGGCCTCGGCTTAGCGGCTCCACAGCCCCTCCCCCATCACTGACAGGCAGGAGTGGGGCCCAGGGTCACAGAGCACCCGAGTTCGCCAGATCTGTGCGTGATGAAGTCACGTGCCGGCCCGGCCGCACAGGTCTGCGGGCCCCGTTTACAGCCTGTGGCCCAGAAGCCCCGAGCTTCCAGGGAAGGCAAGGCCTGGGCCGGCGGAGGAGGCCGGAGCGGAACAGGGCCTCGTCCTCGCCGCCTCTAGAGCCGTCCTCGACTTACTCAGCTCCGAGATGCTCCCCACGCAGGTGGCCAGGAGGGACTGCTCCAGCGTCCGGAGCTCCAGCTGGGCGTAGGCGTCGGCGCGCTCGTCCTGGCCCAGGGCCCCGCCGTTGTAGGGGCTGAAGTACGCCGGGAGGGAGAGGACACCTGCGGGGAGACAAGGCAGACAGGTCACCCCGGGAAGGAAGCAGAACTCTTGGTTGAGCAGGGCCAGAGGCAAATGTCCAGGGTCCCCTGGAGACGAGCCGCCTCTTCCTGCGGACGGCGCCCCGGGGCAGACCGGGAGCGCCCCCCGGAGGTGGGTGAAGCCGGTGCAGACCCGCCGCCCACGGAACTGGCCTGCGGAGGCTCGCGGCCCACACCAGACTTCCACCTTCTCCCACTGACCATTTGCAGTGCTCATTCGGCCCAGGCACGGGGTGACACTCGGGGCGCTGGGGTGACAAAGAGATCTGGCTGTGACCTCACGGAGCTCAGGGGATGGCTGTGCCAGGTGTAAACCTCCACCTGGCGGCCCAGAGGGCAGCATCGCCCCCAGGCCACTCACACCCTGCACTACCCCTTCCCTTCTTCAAGCCGGCAGAGGGACAGGGAGAGACCACAGAGAAAGAGAAGCTGCCTCTCCCCTCCAAGGAGGGGACACGTCCCAGCCGCTGGCCAAGTCCAATTAGTGTTTTTCATTAGCACTTCAGCGGCGGGGGACAGAGCTGTCAGCATCAACGCGAGGGTGACAGCCTGTAAATTTCTCCGACTCACTGCGTCGCTTCTTAGAAAGCACCAGGAAAACAAAATCAGACTGGCTGACAATTACATGTCGGTTCTTAAGAGCATGTGGTCACAGAGATCCCCAACTTCTGGTAACTGCTGTTTCTTCGATCAATGCCTCTTTGTCCACCCACCCTGAACTTCTTGTTTACTTTTCAAGAAAAATACCCACAGGAATTTAATCAGTTTCGGGAAAAATGTCTTGAAATTCCTTGAGATAACAGAAGACCCCTGGGATGTGGCCAAAGGCGGTTAGAATTCCCTGTCCTATACACAGAACGCCCAGAGGACAGCAGCAGCCACAGGGCGCGTGGGAGCAGTGGAAAAGGGGCCTGGGAGCTGGGACTCCTGGGTCTAGGAGTCTGGCTCCATCACTCACACCAGCACTGTGGTCTTGACGCCTCACTGCCTCTGACTCCTAGGCGTGAACTGGAGATGAGGACAGTGAGTAGCCCGCCCTGTGGCCATGAGGATGAACTGAGCTCCCGGGTGCCGCCTTGGACGTGGCTCAGTGTGGCTCAGAGTCAGCACTCTGTGGGGAGTTGTGCTGTTGTCTTCACTTGTCAACCAAGTAGCCAAGCTAGGATTTGAACCTGGGTCTGACTGACTCTAGACCGCACACACTGACCCTCTGAAAGCCCAGAGCCGATGCACACACCGCCCAGCTGCCCTTCAGCTGTCCCGATGTGGTGGCTCGTGCATGGGACAGTCCTGCTGTATTACTGCCCGTCTCGCCCACAGCAGCCCCGGCCGAGCCCTTTGTGTTCCTCTTTCTTGGGTAAAGGCGCCTGGCAGTCCTCGCCTGCCTAGATCCTGGCCACCCTGTGGGTTCAGCCGATGGTCAGCCCTGCCCTTCTTGCCTGCCCATCCCTTGACCCAGCCCCCCTGCCCTCCTTGCTGCCTCACTGCAGCTGGGCACTGCCTGGTGTGGCTGGGTGCCCCCACGTCCCTCTGCCCCTGTGGATGGCAGCGCCCCTCCCATCACATCCGGTTCACTGACTTGGCAAAGCACTTCCCCAAAGCTGTTTCCAGTGGGAAGAGGAGGAAGCACGACTGGTTCCCCTGCCCTAGTCCCCGGCAGAAACTCTCCCCGGCCGCTGAGTGCCCATGAGGCAAAGCTGGGACCAAAACAGGTGATACAAGAGAGAACGTCACGTGCACACGCACTACAAGCTAGACCCACAGACAGCCCGACACTCGGGGGTTTCCGCACAGTTACAGGTCCCAGTGCAGGCCTGGCTCCTCCCCCTTCTCCGTTATTAATCTCCAGAAACAATACTGGGGACATGTGGACCAAATTTGCAGAGCTTAGAGGAAGGGAATAGGAAATTCAGCTGATTTGTCGGACGATTCCCCGAGAGAAATATTATGTCAGTGGATCTAGTAACAGGAGCTGGCAGCTCCATTAATAATGGTTCCCATGTTCCCAGTCATCACCCACCCATAGGGACTTTCACTTAATACTGTAGCAAAAGTAATTATGAACCTATTATTAATAACAGTAACTGATAGCATCACAGCTTTTGTGCACCTTTTGCTCTTAAGAGACGTTTTACATTGAATAATTTATTCTTCCAACAAGGGAGGTAGGGCAGCCATCGTGATTAATAGCCAATAGCCAATAGATCAATAAGGCTGACGATGACTGAGGGCTGACATGCCAGGCACTGTCGTAACGTACTGCATGATCACAGAGAATCCCCCGAGACTCTGTGAGGTGCCCCGTCATGCCCGTCATACAGATGAGAAACCCAAGGTGACTTGCCCTATGTTATTGAGGGTCAGAAACTGACCTGGGGCTAAAATGTCAAATTTCTTGATTTCTGAAATAAAATGACATTCTAACTTTGGCCACCCTGTCCTTTAGTTAAACTCCACTGGAACATTCGCGAGAAAAGGGGTTCTGTTTGGGCCTCGGTTTGATAGCAGGGAATTCAAAGTAAGCCCCAGAGATACAACTTTCCTTTTAACGGGACCCCGGGCACCTCTCACCAACACCCCTGGAGGTCTCCCCTGAAACGCCACAGGAAGGCTGTGTTCTTATTCCCTCTGATCTTTCCACAACAAGTTCCACAGCTTGTCCTCCAAGTCTGCCCCTTAAGAAAACGTTTTTTACATCAATCGAAACCCTTCTCTCTCCCACCCAGGCCCGTTCCTCAGAAGTCCTCACTGCAAATGGAAAGTATGTGCTTCACCCTCTGCCACCCGAGGCCTTCTGTGCCCCCCACAAATTCCCAGCTTTATGACGTGGAGCCAGGGCAAGGTCACTCTGTAAAAAGATTTCAAGAAATAAAAAAAAGAAAGAAAGGGTATTTTTTTTTTCTATTTACTAAAATCCTTAAGAAAAATTATTCATTTTAGTCACAATGGAAGAGAAAGCATGCTGGAATGTTATCCTCGATCCCCTTATTAGTTAAAAAGGACACCCCAAACCCACGCCCGCTGAGCTGTGCAAAGTTGCGGAGAAACCCCCATGCACCATTTAGATGGCGACTGGGAAGTGGACTGAGCGTGAGGCGTTTCTGTGGAACCCATGCACCACCCCACACACTCCGACTGCACAGAGAGCCTCTACATTTCTCAATGTACACACAGCCCATAATCTTCCATCGCTCATTTTTCTCAGCCTGGTTGCGCAACCCTCGAATCTGGGAACTCATTATCTCCTTCCCCAAAGCGCTGCCTCCGCCACCATCCCAACCTCTCTGGGTCCAGTGCCACCTCCACCCAGTTGCCCAACAGACCTGTGAGTCATCCTTATCAACTCCCTCCCTCCTCCGCACAGCCAATCAACAAAGTCTCGCTCCTTTTACCCCCTTAAGATCCTCCAAATCCGTCAGGGCCGTGCCCCAGTTTGGCCACTGTCTTCCCTCACTGGCTACTTGTCTCCCGCCTCCGTCTGACCCCACCCTGTGCCATCCTTTCCTCCGGTCACCTTCCTCTGGAGCTCTGTCCTCTTCAAGGACTTCCCCACTGCCCCTAAAAAGAAGTTCAAACTCCTTTCCACAGTTAAGAATAGATGCCATTCTTATTTCTGTCTCTGAAAATTAGAAACAAAAACAATTCTGCCAGTACACGGGGAGATTCCCAGCACCTCCCTGGAAACCAGTCCAACTGAGAGGCCTGTGCACACCTGACCGCGTTTCTCCACGCCGTTTTCCCAGGGCCGGTCCCTGGGTCTGGAAAAGGGTCACCTTTCTAGGTGCTTCTCCACCGGCGCCCAGAGAGGGTGCCATTGAGTTAGATGGGGACCCACTGTGCAGAAGACTGGGAACCCCGCCTTCTCCATGGTGGCTGCCAACCAGGAATTCAGCCTGGGTTCAGCCTGCAGAGGCCCTGGCTCCTCCAAGCCCGCACCAAGCCCGGAGCTGGACTGCCCGTGCTGCTGACACACTGGACTTTGGGTACAAAGGTTTTCAGAAGCAGGGTTGAGCCCAAAGGCCATATCAGTGGGTGCTGTTCCATTCTCTCCTCTGGAACACATGGGGGTGACCTGATGGCTTTCCAAGTCTTTTCCATCACAGATCCTCCTCTCCACCTGGCCCTCTGTGTGTTCTTGCTCTGCTGTGTACCCCTACAAGCCTCCCCCACCCCTCTCATTTCAACATGTAACTTCTGAACAATTTCCCCCCCCAGTTATAACACCTCCCCCTACACACAATTTTAAATGTAAAGAAAATATCTTTTGTGAAGACTGCATTGATTTATGGTTCTGATTTTCTGAGCAGTCATCAAAAACCATCAAGACTGTGACGTAACTGTCCCCTCAACCCACCAAACCATGACCAGCTGTCCCCAGAGTTGCAAACGTTCTTTTCAGGCCACGGTGACTACAGTGGGCCCAGCGGCCCGTGCAGGCCCGCGTGGAAAGCACCCTCCCCGGCCCCGGCACCCCCACAATCCCCGCCTGGTTTAGGGAACCTCGCCTGTCTCCTGTTTCTCTAACAAGGAAACTGGGGTGCAGAGGACGGCTCTCTCACTGGCAGGGCGTCTTCGGTCTGTTTTCGTAGGACCTGGAAACCTGGGTGGGGGCCGACCCGCAGCTTCTGAGAATGAAAATTATATTCCCCACTGAATGGTTTCCAAGTAGCCCACACAGTTCAACCCTTTTAATTTCTTAAAAAAGTGTTTCCATCCTCTGATCTGGAATTTTATATATAGTACGTTTAATGCTCAGTTGTGTGTTAGTCATACTGAAACAAAGTGCTGAAAACTTAAAGCATGAATATGTTTCAGAGAGACCCAAATGAAACACAAGGGCCGCTGATTCTAAAACAACTTTGCTGAATGGCTTTTCTCCTGAGAGTCTAAATCCAAAGAGGTTGGGGTGTGTGTGTGTGTGTGTGTGGGCGGGGGGTGTTGAGGCAGGAGGAAGGGGAAGG